TTTTTTTTTTTTTTTAAGAATTATTTAAAAAAAAAGATTTATTTATTTGTGCATACAGAACTGGGGTGCAGGCCAGAAGTGCAGGGGTTTGAGAGGCTTCAGCAGAGACAGAGAGGGGAGCAGAACAGGCAGATGTACTGAAACCCACTGATGACGGGAACAGCGGGCAGGTCAGGAGAGGTCTGCCGCGCCGTGTGGTCACCTCTGGGGCAGGCGGGGATCAAACTCATGCGGAAGTGGCTTAGGCTTCTTTTGCAGTGCATTAACCCGCTGCGCCACCAGGGACGGCCGCCTGCCACGTTCTTTTTGAGAGCTGCGTCGTACTCCCAGGTAGTACAGGTGGTCCCCATGATGTCTGATGTGTCGCACGATATGCGTAACATCTGTTTGACCAGCTGCCCTCGGTTTATTTCCCCGTCACCGCTGGCCGGACTTCTCGGATGCTCTCCCTCTGCTGTCTCCATCACCCTGTCTCCCTGGCCTGGTGTGAGGAGGGCGCTTTCAGACAGGAAGGCTTTGTTGCGCCTGACCCTTGGCCAGGTTAACCCAAAGCTGCTCGGTAGCAGTTTGGGACAGACCTTTCCAAAGCCCACGCAGGTTAACAGGAATTATGCCGAGAGCAGAATAAACACCCAGGGCTCTTGTCTACAGGACTCTTAAATACTTTAGCATGCAATTGTGTGTTAAGAACATGTGAGAAGGTGGAGATAGAGCTTCGAACATTGCGCAAACTTTCTGAGCAGCGAGCTCTTTCTTCATGAAGGACCTCGTGGCAACGCGTTCCTTCCCTCTGACGCATTTTGTTCCAGGGCGTCAAGAAGCCACCTAGGGGTAGTAACGCGTCTTCTGACCCAGCAACATAGCATAGTCCTCTGGAGAAAAACCTTTTTTCCCATTATTTAAGCTAGGCTTGGGTATTTTCCTCCCATTTTTATACCGCACTGAGCAACTGTATGGTCCTGGCCCCGCGTTCTTGCCACATAAGCAGATGCAGGCAGGATCTGAGACAGGAAAGCGGCGGGCGGCAGCTCTCCGTGGCGTGGCCGTCTCCTCCCGCTCCTCGCAGAGCCCTGGAGCCGCTGCGCCGGCTCACGTGCCGCCCGGTGACCGTCTCTCCCCACCCGCCCTCCCGGCGGCCCCCACAGCTCACGCCCACGGCGGTGTCCTGCGCGGGCCGGGCCTCTCCCCACCCCGCCCGCTGCAGCGCCCTCCCTCCCTGCAGGCTTCGTGGCCATGGTGAACAAGGCCATGAGTGCCAAGTTCGAGTGTCTGGTGGCGAGCGCAGAGCAGCTGCTGAAGGAGCTGCCCTGGCCCCCGGCCTTCGAGAAGGACAAGTTCCTCACGCCGGACTTCACCTCCCTGGATGTGCTCACCTTCGCTGGCTCGGGCATCCCTGCTGGCATCAACATCCCCAACTGTGAGCTTCCCCGAGCCTGCCCCTCAGACCCCTGACAGTGCCCCCGGGCCCACGAGCCCAGCCCCACCGCGGATCCCCGTCGGAGTCCTGTGGTTGACCCTTGACTCGCCCCTGGGCGCCCCCCTCCCTCTCAGACGACGACCTGAGGCAGACGGAAGGCTTTAAGAACGTGTCGCTGGGGAACGTGCTGGCCGTGGCCTACGCCACCAAGCGGGAGAAGCTCACCTTCCTGGAGGAGGATGACAAGGTGGGTGGGCACCGGTGCCCCCGGGCAGGGCTGGGCTGGCCTGATGTCGGCAGGGGCAGGGAGGCGGGCAGCCAGCGCCAGGGAGAGGGCAGGACGCTTCGGTCTGCTCTGCCACCTCCTGGCCTGTCGGCGGCAGAGCCGGCCCCGCCCGGTGGCTGCTGGCAGTGCCCGCCTGGCTGCTGTAGGCCTTTGCCGATCCTGTGCCGCGCCGGGCCTTGGCTGGGCGGCGGGGGGTGGCAGGCTGGGTGGTTATGGAGGCCCGTGGTCAGCGCGGTCCCTGCTCGCCTCCCTTGGCAGGACCTGTACATCCGCTGGAAGGGGCCCTCCTTTGACGTGCAGGTGGGGCTGCACGAGCTGCTGGGCCACGGCAGCGGGAAGCTCTTCGTGCAGGTGAGACTGGGCATGCCCTGGGGCCTCCGGCGCCTGCACAACTTTCTGTGCCCTCCCCGCCATCGGCCCCTCA